CAGTGAAGGAAAAGGAGCTGACTGCTCAGTCTGCTTTGTATCCACAACAAGTACAGACAGGCACCTGGGGACTCCGTTGTTTTACCAAGGTTATTGAGGAAAGCACAAAGAGGGGTCCAGTGTCTCAGCCACGTCCCCCCAAGAGATTGATGGCAGGCCTCGCTGCATTTTCTTGACCTACCTGGAATACAGGACAACCTGTCCATGGGATCTGTGTAACTTGGTGTGAGGCATCTCTATCCAGGCATCTTCTGCCTGGATAAAACTTTGCGAGATCTGCCTTGTGTACAGGTGTTTTGGCACAAGTGAGGGCTGAGAGGTAGGAGGTATGATAACACGGACAGCTGTTTCATCCTGGCCAGCAGGCTGGGCCTGAACAGAGAGCTCGCACCTGTGGAGCCAGGGAGGAGTGTCCTTACGGGCTTTTATCAAAATCTTCCAGAGAAGAACTTAACTTTGAAGCTAATCCCTTGGAAAACGCACAGCTGTGTTCTCCTGAGGGTACACAAACAGCCATTCCACAGCTGGTATGTTTGATCTCTAAGATTGTGGGTTATATTTTGCCCTTCTGCTTTTCAGGATGTGTCATTTGGCTCCATTTATCACTTCCATTCCTGTGACATTGTGTCCCCAGGTGCACATACACACGGAGAGATCAGAAAGGGAAGAGTAGAGGGTTTAAACAACACAGAATCTCAGTGCTGGCTTGGGGTTACCCCAAATGTTTTCTGTTGGGCCATAGCAGTTACGATTTTGGGCAACTGCAACTTGATTTTGGTGTTTGAGTACTAACCAGAGAGACTTCAGCCAAGACTGGGAACAAGGCGAATACATTGAAAGAGTCAGTGCCCTTTAAAGTTTATGATAAAAATAGTCAAAATAGAGGTGAACACTAAGCCTGCTTACCGATCTGCAGACAAGCCAGGACACAGACAGAAATGGGTAACATTCCAGAAAAGGAAACAGTCTTATATTTAATTTTCAGAATGGGCATATTTATAAAATAGCACCACTGGAAAAACTGTGAGCACCTTTTATTTTTTTGTTCTGCAGTCTGATATTGCCCAATCCTACAGCCTCTTTGTATCAACTGATCTTGCTTCTCTGCGACCATTTCTAGAAAGCGTCTGATGTTCTGCACTTCTGCAGTCCTGTTTTCCTAACATCGTGACTATAGTCTACAGGCATTAGAAAAACACTTCCACACCTCCTTACTTTTACACATGGGTGCTGTGCTATTGAAGTTACTTCACTTGTATACTCACAGTTATTCCTCTGCTCAAATTATAAGCAAGCAATGTAATGGCTGTCCTCTAACCTTGTGTTTAACTTAGCAGTCCAGCCTCACATAACTAAGCCGGTTGCTTTCAGTAAGCTATTCAGCAGGATCTGATGCTGAACTATTAAAACTGCAGATAACTCTGCTATTGGCAGCATCAGGGAAGTGAATGCTAATTTAGGCCCAAATGTATATAATTTTCAAGGAAATTGAATCATTTTTCACATCACTTTGATCTAACTGCCTTTAGGAAAAATATTGCATTGTGAAGGAATATAAACTCAGTCTAGAGAAGGCAGAGCATGCTATTAGATACTGTTAAATTCTTGAGACATTAAAGATGCCATAGATTGATTTTAGACAATTCTTTCTGATTTTTTTTTTTAATAAGAGCCCGAAGATGGCACAGTATGTTCTTTGCCTGATATTTCCACGAAGATGCATCTTTACACTTGTGAAAAGTCAAGATGCTGAAACTCACCTGTTTCCATTGTTGTCACTGCTGACAAGTCCCAGCTCTCAGATTCTGCAGGACTTTGGAGAAGGGCCGTCTGTCATGAGCTTCCCAGAGCAGAGTGAAGTCAGTGCTCATACTCCACTGGTGAAGTTCTGGCTGAGCCTGATGGAAATGTTTTCTACAATTTAGTGATGTCTCCACAATACCTTGTTTGGGATTTGCTTAAATGCAAATCTCTTGATGTGTGTTTCACTGCAATTTGCATGGTCAGTGTGGATCATTCCCGAAGAGTCTCTTTCCTGGCTGAGCTGACATTTCATGGATTAGTACTGAGCTGAGGTTTACGGACAGAAAAATCTTGGGTTAAAGTGAAAGGCTGGTAAGTGATGGGCCATCTCCTTACGGGTGAGGAACCTGGCTGGAAAAACAAGGCCCGGGACAAAAGCATCTTCTCATATGTAAGTGTGAGATAGCCATGTGCTGTGAGATACCCATGTGCTGTTGAAGTACAACTCAGGGAGGAGTACTGTCTCTCTGGGACCTCACAGACTAGCTTGTGCATCGCACAATTAAAACTGGATCTTTGGACACTGTGAACCCAGGAGCTTTGCATGACATCCACTAGCACCTGCAAGGAGAAGGGTAATAGCCAGGGACAGCATGCTCATGGGACCAGCAGGAATATCGTTTAGCAAACCCACATGCTCCCTGAGGGAGGGAAGTTGGGGTTTGGTTCTCCATTATCAAGTGAGGGGTCCCCTTTCTGAAGCTCTGAGGTTAGTCTCCAGTGAGATGCCAGGAGTGGAAAGAGCAGCTAAGAAAGGATCTGTTCTTACACTGCTGCTGGACCCAAATTAAAGGGACCTTTGGCCAGGCCTGGTATAGCCATTCCTCTGTTCCCAGCCTCCAAATGGTAGCAACTCTGTTTCTGCAATATTTGAACCAAGAAGCAGAGTTAAGCTTTAAATTCTTCTTTAAGCACTGTAGCTTATATCCTAGTTCTGAAACATATCCACATTTTCTCTAGGAGAGCCATTTTCTTGCAAGATGTCTACCAGAACCTATCAGGTTCACCACACCAGGCCGTGGTGAGGGAGATGATCTCTAGAGCGTTTTGTGTACAAGCAGAGAGAGCTGGTGCACAGTATTGCTGCGCTCATCTTACATGAGCAGAACAAGACTGGCGCCAATACGTTCCATAATTAAATATTTCTCCTCTTGTGGAGTCTGCTGCCAGCTTGTGGGTCTATTAAGTAAGATCTGTCCCTCTCTGTAATCCCGTGCACTTCCCTCAGCATCGGCCCAGAGATTAATTTGGCCTGTCATGTGAACTGCCTTCCTGGGGAAGGCTATTGGATTTTCAAGTGTAATTATTCTTTTCCTTCAGAAACAAAATAAAACACAAAGAGCAGCAGCTGGCAAAGGCTGCATCTGCTCAGGCCATCAAGGACAGCGAGGAAGGCTGAGCTGAAATAACATCCTGAATAATTCCCAATACTCTTAACTTGCAGAATGACTTCTGTACTTCTTGCAGAACGACTGGGTGTTCTGCCTGCTCAGACATAAAGCTCAGGACCAAGTAGACATCACAGAATCGAGCTCATGGAAGACTCGAGCTCCTGTATACGGAGTCTTTCACCATGTATATACACCCTCTTATGTAAGACGAGTCTTATTTTGGCCCATCCATTCCTGGCCACCCCCTCCTGGTACCCACAGGTGTCTCAGATTTGGCTGACAGGTAACAGAACGGGCAGGAAGCACCAGGCAGGTTCAGGAAGCATGGGCAGATGTAAAGTTGCAACAGAGGAGGGCTGTCTTTGCTTTGTTGGCAATAGGTTTGGTTTGCCACCTGCCTTCTGGAAGGCTTCCCAGGTAGTTTTGTCTCCTATGCCGGATGTTTATATACTTTGATTAGGATATACAAGTTAAATCCCAGCCCCATTCAAGCTAATAGCTTTGCACTGTCTAGCCAGTCCAGGTGTTTTCTGTTCTGATTACAAAATAATTACATTGGAAACAACAGATCCTGCAGAAAACAAACAGAAATAAAAACTCAGCCAGAGTTCTTTTGGATGAGGTCTATCTCTTTACTTTTGCATTTGAAAAAGCATCAGACTCAGATTTTCTATATAGTTTAGTGAATTTGGGCATGTACTTTCCATTCACAGCTGAGGGGAAAGCAGGTGTGTATGACAGAAGTTACAGAAACAATTGTGTATTAGCAAGGCACGCTTTGTGGCACATTTTATACAATCCCATTTGGTTTTAGTGTGGCATTCACCTGTGCCAAAGAAAGCTTTCTGAGAATTGTATCTGTGTTTTGTGTTACAAAAGCCTGGGGCAGCAGATGTAGTAGTCAATGTATATTTGTTTAATTCAAACTGTTGTGTCAGCCCGTCTTCTCATTCCTGAGTAAAGGGAATTATGTTGCATTATCGCACAGCAGGAAACACAATACTCATGGGTGTTGTATTCAGTGCTTGGCCGGGATGCCTGGTTGTGTGGATATTGACCGCGGTCTTGACGCTGTGATGACTCTCGTTTGGGTGAGGAATGAGCCTAGCGAAGAGGAGGCTGAGGGGAGACCTTATTGCTCTCTACAACTCCCTGAAAGGAGGGTGTAGAGAGGCGGGGGTCAATCTCTTCTCCCGAGTCCCAGGCGATGGGACAAGAGGAAACGGCCTCGAGTTGCACCAGGGGAGGTTCAGATTGGAGATTAGGAAAAATTTTGACACTGAAAGTGTTAGTAAGCTTTGGAATGGGCTGCCCAGGGAAGGGGTTGAGGCCCCATCCCTGGAGGGATTTAAAAGCCGGGTTGCCATAGTGCTTAGAGACGTGGGTTGGTGATGGGTTTTATCAGAGTGAGGTTGATGGTTGGACTCGATGACCTTAAAGGTCCCTTCCAACCCAGACAATTCTATGACTCTGTGATTCTGGAGGCACTGGAAATTAACATCTGTGGCAGCAGCGAAGCTCCACAACTGCAAAGCCAGGTCTGTGCCATCACAAAAGCGGTCCCGGCTCCCGGGAACAGGGCTTTCCCCAAACCGCGGGTGTCCGAGATGGGTGCCCCCCATCCCTCCCATCGGCCCCCAGCGGCCCGGGAACCTTTGTGCGCCGGTGCCGCTTCCCGACGAGCCCTCTCCGCCGCTGCACGGGTGCCGCCGCCTCCTTGCGCGGTGATTGGTCGGCGGCCCGGCGGGGGCGGTCACTATTGGACGGGCGCGGTCCGTTGGGTTCCGGCGCTCCCCGGCGGGGCGGGCGGAGGGTGAGTGGGGCTGGGCTCCCGCTTCGCCCCCGCTTTGCCCGGCGCTCCCCTCCTGCCCCGCCGCGGTGGCTCGGCTCCCGGCTCCGGCCACCCTTGCCCTGGCCGAGGCCTGCCGGACGGCGCCCGGACCGGTTTCGGGGCGTTGGGTGACCGCCGCGGTGAGGGGAGCCCTCAGCGTCTGCAGCCGGCCATGCCTCCCGCCAAAGCCGCCGGTAAGGAGGCCTTGGTGCTGCAGTGCGAGTGGGAGCTGTGCACCTACGTGGCCTCGAAGATGGAGGAGTTCTGCGAGCATGTGGCTCAGCACCTGCAGCAGCACCTTCCCGGCGAACAGCGGGACGAGATGGACCCTCTCGGTAAGGAGCTGCATTCCCTCCTCTCTGAGGGGTTTCGCTGTCAGGACCGCGGTCTTGACGCTGTGATGACTCTCGTTTGGGTGAGGAATGAGCCTAGCGAAGAGGAGGCTGAGGGGAGACCTTATTGCTCTCTACAACTCCCTGAAAGGAGGGTGTAGAGAGGCGGGGGTCAATCTCTTCTCCCGAGTCCCAGGCGATGGGACAAGAGGAAACGGCCTCGAGTTGCACCAGGGGAGGTTCAGATTGGAGATTAGGAAAAATTTTGACACTGAAAGTGTTAGTAAGCTTTGGAATGGGCTGCCCAGGGAAGGGGTTGAGGCCCCATCCCTGGAGGGATTTAAAAGCCGGGTTGCCATAGTGCTTAGAGACGTGGGTTGGTGATGGGTTTTATCAGAGTGAGGTTGATGGTTGGACTCGATGACCTTAAAGGTCCCTTCCAACCCAGACAATTCTATGACTCTGTGATTCTGGAGGCACTGGAAATTAACATCTGTGGCAGCAGCGAAGCTCCACAACTGCAAAGCCAGGTCTGTGCCATCACAAAAGCGGTCCCGGCTCCCGGGAACAGGGCTTTCCCCAAACCGCGGGTGTCCGAGATGGGTGCCCCCCATCCCTCCCATCGGCCCCCAGCGGCCCGGGAACCTTTGTGCGCCGGTGCCGCTTCCCGACGAGCCCTCTCCGCCGCTGCACGGGTGCCGCCGCCTCCTTGCGCGGTGATTGGTCGGCGGCCCGGCGGGGGCGGTCACTATTGGACGGGCGCGGTCCGTTGGGTTCCGGCGCTCCCCGGCGGGGCGGGCGGAGGGTGAGTGGGGCTGGGCTCCCGCTTCGCCCCCGCTTTGCCCGGCGCTCCCCTCCTGCCCCGCCGCGGTGGCTCGGCTCCCGGCTCCGGCCACCCTTGCCCTGGCCGAGGCCTGCCGGACGGCGCCCGGACCGGTTTCGGGGCGTTGGGTGACCGCCGCGGTGAGGGGAGCCCTCAGCGTCTGCAGCCGGCCATGCCTCCCGCCAAAGCCGCCGGTAAGGAGGCCTTGGTGCTGCAGTGCGAGTGGGAGCTGTGCACCTACGTGGCCTCGAAGATGGAGGAGTTCTGCGAGCATGTGGCTCAGCACCTGCAGCAGCACCTTCCCGGCGAACAGCGGGACGAGATGGACCCTCTCGGTAAGGAGCTGCATTCCCTCCTCTCTGAGGGGTTTCGCTGTCAGAGAATCTCTGCTCACAGAGGAGTGCAGCGCTGCCTGTTGCAGGACTGGACTGTCATCAGAAAACCAGTCGTGTTTCTCTGTCTGCGGGAACCCGACCTTTACTTGGAGAGTTTCCTTCGGGTCGTTATGACCTGTTTCTCCTGTTTGTGTTGCAGAGGAATACACGTGTTTGTGGCAGGAGTGCGGTTTCTGTTCCCCAGAGAGCTCAGCTGACCTCGTTCGCCACGTCTATTTCCATTGCTACCACACCAAGCTGAAGCAGTGGGGGCTGCGGGCCCTGCAGAGCCAGTCAGATGTGAGCCATTGCCAGCTGGACTTCCAGAGCCGCAATATCATCCCTGAGATCCAGGAGAACTTCCTGTGTCTGTGGGAGTACTGTGAGGTGAGAACAGGGGACCCAGTTTCACTTTCCTATGTGTTGTTTGTGACGTGGTGGCCAAGGGAGAGCTGCTTTTGTCCTGCAGCTCACCTGCATGCCTGTTGGCTGTGTTTGTACCTGTGTGAAAGGGTCTGTTGTGCTCTGGCTGAGACAAGCTCGTGCTGATCTTTTCAGCCCATTCTGTCTATCCTTGCTCCCCAACAGAGATCATTTGATAATCCCGAGTGGTTCTATCGGCATGTGGAGGATCACAGCTTCTGTTCGGAGTACAAGGCTGCAGGGAAGGAGAACCATGTGGTCCTCTGTGGCTGGAAAGGTTAGTGGGTGCATGCAAGGCCTCTCTAGAGAGCTTTGCACAGGGCTGGATTGCAAATGTTGTACAGGAGACCTCTGCTCTCCTTGGCAGGGTTTCAGAGAGCCTCTTGAACTTCAAAAATATGCGTGCATGGTCCCAACAGTGAAATATTCCTGTAGAGTTTCCTTTAGGGGATCCAGTGAGTGCTTAATATTGAGCTTTTCATGTATATTTAATTACTACTTAGCAGAAAAGGCTGTAGTTTAATTTTTTTGATAATTTGTCTCTGCTGTGTTTGTGTAATTGCCTTAGCTGCTTGCAGGGGGGGGACGCCCATGCCAGTTTTACACTAGCGATCTCATCCTGCTGTGACCCTGCTCTGTGGGCTTCTTGGGGCAAGGAGTCGATCCTTGGTAGTCAAAACAGAAGCAAGAAGCCTACCATTTAGTCAGGTTGTGGATCGTAGCCTATGTGTGAAGGATCTTAACGGCATTCCATTGTTTCTGTTTAGACTGTGATTGCACGTTCAAGGGGCGCTGCAAACTGCGGGAGCACTTGCGTAGCCACACGCAGGAGAAGGTGGTGGCCTGTCCTACCTGTGGGGGCATGTTCGCCAACAACACCAAGTTCTTTGACCACATCCGCCGTCAGACTGCACTGGACCGTAAGCTCCTGTGGGCACGGGAGGAGGAGGTTGTGAACAGTCCTCTGGCCGTTTGGTTTGCTAGAGCTGCCTGTTCTCTGCAAGCGAAGGGCACGGGTGAGCTTGGAAACAGCCTGGCTTCTCTGATAATTGGGAACGTAGACACTGATGAATCTCTGAGAAGTGTCTTCTTGCAGAAGCAGGAGGGTTGGAGGCTGACAAGGCTGCACAGGGCTCACACTGCTGCAGCCAGAGCTGTTCATCTTGTAACTACCTCTTTTTCTCACTTGCTGCTCTTTGTGCTACGCTCCATGCTTTGATCTCTTTTCTCATCACCCCCTCCCCTTTCTCCCTGACCCCAATGCTGCAGAGCAGAGGTTTCAGTGTTCTCACTGCTCCAAGAGGTTTGCTACAGAGAGGCTGCTCCGTGACCATATGAGGAACCATGGTGAGTAAAGGCCCTGTCTTCCAGCTGAGGCTCTCAAGAGTGCATGCTCTCCCCTGCTTTGTGGTAATGTTTTCCACCCATTCTTTCACGCAGTGAACCATTACAAGTGCCCTCTGTGTGACATGACCTGCCCGCTGCCCTCCTCCCTGCGCAATCACATTCGCTTTCGGCACAGCGAGGAGCGACCTTTCAAATGTGACTACTGTGACTACAGGTGAGGACCGGGGCTTTCCATGGTCTCAAACTGAAGATGGAGAAGCACAGAGAGGTACGTGTGTGTGTGTGTGCTACACAGTGTTCAGCTCTGTTCCCTTATCATTTCCTTTTAGCTGCAAGAATCTCATTGACTTGAGGAAACATCTGGACACGCATAGCAAAGAGCCAGCCTATCGCTGCGAGTTTGAGGCTTGCAGCTTCACTGCACGTTCCCTCTGCTCCATCAAACTGCACTACCGGAAAGTCCATGAGGTAGGAAGGGAGCAGAGGGATGTTCTGCTGTGTATTCTTTCCCAGTGAGGCTGAGAACTGCTAAGAGCAACAAGCTGTAGAGAAGCATGAGGATAAAAGATGAAGTCATGTGAAGTGCCCCGGGCTGAGCAGGGGTGTAGGGATGTGAGGGCAGTTTGCATTCCTTTCTCACTGCTGCAATGATAATGTCATGTCAGTCTTCTCAAGGAACCTGACTCCTCCTGCCATGCTTATGCATGAGTACCATCATCGGGCTCGTGGAGTATTCACGTCCCTCTCTCTGCCATTCAGGGTGACTCAGAGCCCCGGTACAAGTGCCATGTCTGTGACAAGTGCTTCACACGTGGAAACAACCTCACTGTCCACCTCAGGAAGAAACACCAGTTCAAGTGGCCCTCAGGGCATCCTCGCTTCAGGTACTTCCCATCCTTAGATCCTTGCTACCTCCTCTCTAGTGCAAGAGATAGCTGGAGCTGTGTCTTGCTAGGGCAGAGACCTGGCGGTGCTTGGGCTCTGACTTCTGCCTGTATTGTGCTCAAGACCTGTTTCCCAGTGGCTGAGAGGCACCAGGCTGCAAGCATTTGGTGGGATCTCGCACAGTGGCAGAGCAGTTCTGAGTGGCAGTTGGTCAAAGATGAGGGGCAAGGGTGCTGTCACGTGGGTGGGATGCTTCTGAACTTGGTAGGGGCCAGGTCCAGGTGTTCCACTCTAGAGAGAGCTGCTGCAGATCAGTCTCTCGACAGATGCCTCTGCTGAATCCTTCCTAGGAAACTCCAAAGGGTTTCCAGAGCCTAAAAGCTGGGATGGAAGACAGTGGGCTTAAATGCTCATAGTGAGCATAGTGAGTTAGTGGAAGGAGATGGGCTTGGGATGTGGTAGAGGCCTAGCAGAAAGCTCAGAAGCTGCCACATAGATGTGCTTTTAGGGGTAGGGGCTGAAGGTTTATATTTTACTTGACTCTTACCATCTATGTAGCACTGGGCTTGGGAAGGGGCTGCAGTGTGACTGGCTCCATTACCCCTGCTTATCTGCTCAGGTACAAGGAACACGAGGATGGCTACATGAGGCTGCAGCTGGTGCGTTACGAGAGTGTGGAGCTGACAGAGCAGCTGCTGAAGGACAGAGAGAAGCAAGGGGAGGCACTGGATGCCTCAGCTGAGTGTGTGATGCTGTCTGAAGGTGAGGGCAACCTGCAGGGCATCGTTCTGGACGCCCCGGCAGAGGCACCCCCGGTAGAGAGCAGTGTTGCTGAGCTGCAAGTGGCCCCCCTGCGCCCAGCAGCTTGCTCTGCTGACAACCCTGAGCCAGCGCGGCCAAGTGCCTTCCCGGGAGCAGCACCGTCACTGGAGCAAGAACCCAGCACCCCAGCCAACCCTATCATCCGTGTGGTGAACCGGACCAACGAGCACGGGGAGAGCGAGACTGTGTATTATGTCATGGCCAGCACATCCTCAGAGGAGCAGGTGGCAGCACCTGGTGGGCTGGGTATGGAGCTGGAGGAGAACGTTATGGACCGTCTGCAGAAAACGGCTGAGGAGCTGGGCATCCAGATCGTGTGAGGCGCTCACCTGCATGTGGAAAACTTGGGGTTCCATGGGTTGTGCTGGTGGGGAAGGTTGGGAAGTGCTTGGGGGTTAGGACTGAGCTTGTCTTCACCTACTTGGAGCTGGCTGACTCTCCCCTCTGCTGCCCCAGCCTCACTGGGTGCAGGTTCTGGTCAGCATCGGGAGAGGGGAAGGACAGATCTGTCTCAGTTGTGGGTCAAGTGATCTGATCTGGAAAGAGCTGTCTGTCTCCTGCTTTTGGGGATTAGGGACTAGCAAGCCTCTCTTACCATTCCAGGAGGTTTGGCCTTAGCCTGACACAGGCCTTTCCCTCTTGGTTACTCATTGGTGACATGGTCCCTGCTGCAGTGCAGCTCAGTTGTCAGCCCTTGCTGAGCCTGGTCCTCAGCTAGGATCTCCCCAGGCAGGATGGTGTGCCGAGCAGATGCTGCAGCTGAAGCTTCTTCCCTGGGGAGATGTGTGGCCCTTAGCAGGCCTGTTCTCCCCCGTCCATACTTTGGTCTCCAAGGGGTGGTATGCTCCACTTCTGCCTTCATCAGCACTTCCCTGTGCATCGTCCTTCCTGGGCTGTTCAGCTGGTGCTGTTGGTGGTGTTTGCACCACTGATCCCGTCAGGCTGCACTCATCTCTGGGAGGAGGGGACTGGAGGTGCTGTCCCTTGCAGGCTACCGCTGCCCTGCAGCACTGGGGGATTGGGAGCTTCTTACTGCTTTTGTCCTTCCCTGGGTTTCCTCCCCACATTGGGGTTTGGGCTCCTGGTTGGGCAAAGTGTACTTTGGCAAGACAAATAAAAGTCAGACTGCCAAACCAACCAGTGTCTGATGTCTGTTTCAGCCCCATCCCTGCCAGCCATGGCACGTTGTGGTGAGAGGATGAGACTGAGTTGTCTAAACCCTGCAGTGTGGGTGGTGGGCACCCCAGAGCTGCCAGCATCTCTTGGCATGCTCTACATGCTGCCCCTTGGTGTGGCTGGTGACTTGCCTTGGAGAGTGTGTTGTTTCTCGTCCCCAGAGGTGGCACTTGGAAGGCCAGATTTAGCTCTGGCCCTCTTGTTTCCTGCTGTCCTGATATGGTTTTGATTTTTGCTGCCTCCTTCAGGGTGTGAATGTCAGCTGCCTGCGATGACATTTTTTGAATATAGAGGGTAGTGGGGGCTTGTGAGCAGAGCCAGCTTGTGCTCTGTTGATTTGGACGAGGGTGGTGTGAAGCTGATGTCTCTGGAGTGACACACAGGCACTCACCACCCTGTGTGTGGATGGGCCCAGATAGAGGCAGGGAGGTGACCTGCTGGTCTCCTAAGCTGGACAGTGACTTTTTTCCCCTCTCTGCCTTTCTCAAGTGGTTCAGCAAAAGCTCTTGGAATTCCAGGTTAATGGAGGAAATCACTTTATGCTAAACCCTTGGCCATCTGCTCGCTTTCTAATTACAAACACTGTGGGTGTGATTTGTGGCTGTGCCCTTGGGGTGGGGTGGTGAGAGCAGCCCCGTTAGCCTGCGTCCTGGGTGAGGGGCAGGGATGAAGAGCTGCCTGCTGCAGGCTGTGTGGGAAGGTTTCCTGGGACTGGATCCATGTGTGAAGGGTGATGCACGCCCCTGCACCCCAAAACTGCTTTCTCTCAGAGCACACACGCAGAGCGCCTCCCGTGGGGCAGTGAAACATCTAGGGCCGTGTGCTGGGCACCTGGTGCTCGGGGTGAGGCAGGGTGGGAGGCAGCCAGCTGTCGCAGCAGCCCTGACAGCACGCGTTGCAGGAGGAGGCTGGTGGCTCTGGGGAGGGCATCCCTGGGCTGATGGCATGCGGTGCCCCTGCCTGGCCCTCGCTCCCTGGCACTTGGCAGAGCTGGGCTGAGAATACCTTCGAGAGAAGGGCCTCTTGCCAGGTTTGCATTCGCAGCACTTACGGCTTGGCCCTCTTTCTAACGTGGGCTTCGGGGCTCTGCTGCTGGAGCCACAGCTGCTCCTGCGTGATCTCGGGCTATAGCACTCCTGTGCTGTGTGAGTGCTGGTGCTGGGAGCAGAGGCGAGGCCGTGGTGGCTGGGACGAGTTGTCCCTTTAAACACTGGGTCCAGGGAGGGTAATCTGCCAGAGATTATCTGCTGGGGAGAGGATTGGCATTAAAGGGAATGTCTCCTCCCTTCCCCCATGTCCTACAGCATCCCTTGTCCTGTGTGTATGGAAACCAAGTTCACTTTCTCCTGGGCAAGCAGAGAGGGGGCCTTTGATTTGAGGGGCAAGGGGAGGAGGTCAGTGTGCGCTATGGGACTACTGGGCCTCCTCTTCCTCGCTGTGCTGGCCACGCTGGTCTCCTGTGAGGACCCAGAAGGTAACGGTATTTGGGGAAAGAGAGGGTTTACATGGTGCCCCAGAGGTGCTGGCACATGGCCAGAGCGGTCTTCTCCAGCAGGGAGCAAGACCTTTGTCATGTCCCTGTGCTGAGGCTTGGCACAAGGGAAGTGGGAGCTGGCTTCCAGAAGAGCGGGGGGTCACAGGTTGATGCGCTCTGCACCACAGCAAGGGCAGGGGGGTGGGCTGAGATGGGCCTTCACTGGGCTTTTACCACGTCAGTGTGGGCCTCTGAGGGCTGGGGAGCTGGTGGGAAGGGTGGTCCTCGCCCCTCTGCCCCAGCCCTGCTCTGCCTTGCTCTTTGCAACACCAGGAGACCTGGATACTTACTGGTCTGGCACAGCGCCCATCTGCCTGGGGGGCTGCAAGGGGAAGCACAAGGAGCTGAAGAGGAGCCAGTGTGGGAACGGCAGCTGCTGTTGGCTGGGCTACAAGTCCTTCTGCCGAGGTACAGCCAGAGGGGGGGCACTGGGGGGGCCCTGGGGATGGCTGCAGGGCTTGGCACAGCCAGCCTGGGGAGGGCAGGTTTTGTGTCTTGCACACGTGCATGGAGCCTCTCCAGCAGCCCAGTCCTTGGGCCACAAGGGGACGCAGCCTGGGGCACCCGCAGAGCCTGCCCAGCACCCAGCACCCACAGCGTGTCTGGATGCATCCCCTTGGGCTGCCGAGCTGCCCACAGGAACCTCCCTGTCCCCAGTGAACTGCGGGCGACCCGAAGCAGACTTCAACTCGGTGGTGCATGGCAACGACTGGTGGGTTGGCTCGGTGGTGCGCTACAGCTGCCGGCCCGGATTCCTGCTGCTGGGGGACCCGGCCAGTGCCTGCCAGTCCGACGGCCGCTGGACACCCAAGCCCACCTGCCTCCGTGAGTACCTCTGGGTGTCATGCTGAGCCCGAGGGGACACCCTGCCCGCATGGGGAGCAGGTGGGAGGGCTGCAGGCATGGCTCCAATCATTTTTTCCCCCAGCCCACTGCAGGAAGGCTGTAGTGCTGACAGGCTTTGGCCCTCCTCTTGTAGGGATCTGCCTGCGAGGTCGGATCGAGATCAGCGAGCGGGATATTACTGGGAGGTGCTCCTCATCTTGCAGCAGCCAGGCCCACCTGGGAGCCTTCCTCAACCGTGGCTGCATCAAGATCTCAGCCTGCGTCACCAAGCGCTCGGGCTGGACTCGCTGGTTCCTGCGCTGCGATATCTGTGAGTGCGACTGCCACGTCCCATGCGGTGAGTCGCAGTAGCAGCTCCCCACCTTTGGCAGGGACCTGCCTTGCTGTTTGGGGGGAAGGGTGGGCACTCACAGCTGGGGGCCGCAAAAGGCTCAAAATGTGCTGCTTTTGCTCTCCTTACAGCTTCCTCTGGGTAGAGCCGGGCCATCCGGCACCGAGGCCCCACACCGAGGGAGGCTTCCACCCTGGATGTCTTCTTCCTTTTGTCACATGTTTCCATCGCTGTGCTCCTTCCATAAGCCCTGTCCATCCCAAGGCTGTCATCTGAGAGGAGATGTTCTGGACTCACTCTCTCGCAGGGCTGCCTTCCTGCCTGGCCCCATCCCACGAGTCTCCAGTGGCAGGGGATGCTCTGTGAGCAGCAGGCACTGGGGAACTGCATGTGATTCCTGCAGCTGGGCTTGGGGACGTTGGTGTCTTGGCCTCTATTTCCCAGCTGCTTCCTGGAGGAGGCTCGTATTCCCTTTTAGCGGGGAGGTGGCACGTGTGCCTGTGCCTGTTGCAGAAGTATCTATCCCATCTGTGTGGCAGGTCGTGATTCCTCCCTGCCAGGTGTTTCCTGCAGATGGGCCAGGCTCTGGCCTGAGAGGTAGATCTGCCCTCTGTGCTTGCTGTGGCCATCAGGTAGAGCTGGAGCAATGTTCAGTGGATTGCATTCATGCTGATGCTGGTACCTGGCTCCAGCTGGGAAAACAGCCTTGTGCTCCCTGAGGGCTGCCCTGGCTCCCTCTGAAGCAGCAATGGAAAAGCCAGTGTTTTTATTCCCCCAGGAAAGGAGAAGGTGGTCTGGAACATGTGTGATGGGATTACCAGGGGAGCTGGAGGACCAGCAGCACTGCCATGGGTAATTAAAAATATGTTTACAGGAAATCACATCAGTTTTCCAGTTATGCAAAGAGATTCTACTGCCTGCTCTGCCCCCAGAGCCCTAGATGTACCTGACAGAGCCAAGATGGGCTCCCTCTGCCACTGATACTGTCCTGGACACGTGAGCCACCACAGGGACACAGCTATGGCCAAGGCCATAGGCAGGAAGGTCCTAGCTGGGGACTAGACAGATGCTGAATGTACCCATGGCACTGGGCACCAAGCCTTTCTGGGCACTGGACCCCTATCCCTGCTGGCTTTCCACCTTGAAACGAGTCCACAGCAGGGTGTGGCAGCAGCTTCTGATTTTTGTATGGCCAACAGCTTGGCCTTGGGTGCTCCCGACCCAACCTCACGCAGCTGAGAGGGAAGGGGCTTTAGCATCAAAGGGATTGACTCCCAGACCCTGCTTGTGCCCACCTGCAGGGAAGCAGGGCTAGGCTGAGACCCGCTGTCGGTGAGTGCCCTGGGGATAGGAGTCAGTGTATTGAACACAGAGCAAACTGGATGGGTCTGGTGTGCCTTTTGCTCCATCAGGAGATGATTTAAGACCTCCATATGGAGTTTAGCTCCATGACTACCTCCTTATGCCCTCTCCCTGCCCAGCCTGTGGGCTGCCCTGCCCCACAGTCTCTCCTCTGGCTGTATCCCACTCTGCCAAGGAATCAAATTGCTGCCCTAAGCGCTGTCTCAGTCCAAGGCTGGCTGTGGGAGGGGAAAGCTTTCCCTGTTTCAACAGATGGTTTTTTAATTAATACTCTTGTTAGTGCCACTCATTTCCATATGTCTTTCATGTTTAAGTGCTGTGGTGGGTGAGAGGTGTGAGTAACAGCGAGGATGGAGCCAGGCATGATGCTGCAGAGGGTGGAGGTGCAGGGGGATGGCAGGTCCCCATGACGAGCTGCACAGGGGAGCGTTCCGGGGGCAAAGCTCTAGGGGGGAGAGACTCTTATCAAGGCCCTTTGCGGCCAGCTGTAACCTAATCAGCCCTGACTCTTGATGTCTGGTGAGTGCTTCCCAGGCAGCCTTCTGCATTGCAGCCAGAGTTTCACATAGTTTGTGCCCCCCTTTGGGGTGGCTGTGCGGTGGAGTGGCCCTGTCCCACGTCAGTGCAGGGCTGAGTGGGATGCAGGATGCTGGGATGTGGGGCTGTTGGGATGCAGGAGTTCTGGGATGCCCAGGACACAGGGGCAACCAGACGAGGGAACCCCGGTATGCTGGGGGCGTTGGAATATTGGAGCCCTGGGACACACAGGGATGTGGCTGGGAGTGTTGTGGTCGGGAGCAGACTTTGGGGGGTGTATGGCCCGTGGGATTTTGGGCTGAGGCGGCAACGGGGGGAGCTGCGGTTGGCTCGGCCCCATATGTGACCAGCGGCGAGGAGGGGCGCCGGGGGGCTGCGGAGACAGGGCTGGCAAACCCCAGGCGTGTGCGCTGGGGATGCTCAGGGCCTTCTGGCTTGCGGGGAGAGGAAATCGGGCCGGTCCCTTTAAGAGGATTTTTCGCTGCCTGGCAGTGCTGCCTGCCTGGGCAGCCCATCCTGCCGCCCCGACGGGCAGCAGCAGCAGCAGCAGGGACAAAGCGGCGGAGAGGGGCACAGCCGGCCCCGGGGGGCTGCTAGCCGCCGCTGGGCTGGGGGCTTAGGGTCTCCCCGCCGTCCCGCCCGCCGCCGGGCCCGGCCCAGCCCGCTGCCCTGCCCAGCCCAGCCCAGCCCAGCCCTGTGGAGCGATGGGGAGCAGACCCCGGCTGGGAACCCGCGGGGGCAGCGCCCAGCCCGGCTCCCGGCGCTGAGGACCGACCGACCGGCCGCCGACCCCGCTCCCCGCCCTGCCCGGCCCCACCGGGGCGCCCGGCGCCGGCCCCCGCCGCGGGCATCGCCCCTTTGTCTGCGGAGGAGGGGGAGGCGGAGGGCGCTGCGGCGGAGGCACGGCCGCTGCCGGCGGGAGAGGAGCAGCCGCGCCCGCAGCCTGCCAGGTGAGCCTGCGGGGAGCCCCTTCCCCGGGAGGAGCCCGGGGGCGGCCGGGGATGGAGGGGGCCGGCGGGGAGCGGGGACGAAGGAAGAACAGCCTCGGCAAAAGCCGCCATCCCCCGCTCCTCGCCGCGGGGCCGGGCTAAGCCGCGGAGAGCCGCTTGCGGGATTTAGCTCCTCGTAACGCCCAGCCCAAGGAGTCAAGGTGAGCCCGAGGGCGCTTTGTGCTCGGTGCCCCCCCCCGGCTCCCCGAGCCCCCCGTTCCTCCGGCCCGCACCCCGGGGCTGGGTGTCGCGGCGTGTCCCGCACCTGCTGGGAGGGGGAGCTGGGCGCCGGCATCCCGCAGCCCTCCTTCCCACCTCTTCTTCCCCGGGGCTGGGGCTGGCGGGCTTCCAGCCCTGAAAGGGATCTGTCCGCAGCGGGGAGAGGTCTGGGGAGATCTCGGTGCGGCTCCTTGCGAAGCCGGCTTCCCCTTTCAAGGGAGTGTGTGTGCATTGCAGCTGCAGCGAGGAGCTGCCTGCAGCCTGCGCCTCAGCAGAATGGAGGTTAGGGAAGAATCGAGGACCCCAGCCTTAGAGGCAAGATGGGTGCTGGGCCCAGCCTGCTCGGGTGCAGCTCAGGCTCCTGTTCCCAGTGCCACAGGGATCCCCAGCCCCGTGGTGCCGCAGTGGGACCCGGGGTTAGGATGCTGGCCTCTCTGCTTGGCTCAACATCCCCCCGGCACCGCAGAGAGTCCTCAAGCCAAGCAGGGAGCTTGGCCGTGCTGCAGCCGGCTGGGGGGAGGATTGCAGGCAGGAGACACTGACCACCAGGAGAGTGTTTGGGCAGGTGTATGTATTAGCAGTTAGGCAATGGCCCCCATTAAGTACTGGCCTGGTGTCTGAGGCTGTGCTGGTGAGAGCCAGGAAGATGAAATGAGCCAAGGGAGGCAGAGAAGGACTGGCACTATTGGGGTCCCGTCCTTGCTCTACTAAGTCTCTCCCAGCAAGCCCGAGGGGACCCAGCTGAGGGTCCAGTCTAGCCCAGACTGCTCTGCCCCAGGAGCCTGGGTGAGGCATGGCGGGCTTTGTCCAAGGAACTGGCTGGGAACATTATGTTTGCTTGGCACCCCATACCTGAGTCCCCCAAGCCCTGGCCAGGCCAGGCAGGGGTAATTCCTGGTGAGCCCTTAGGGACATCTAGGCACAGATGAGTGTCCCCTATTGAGGGCAAAACAGCAGCTCTCCCATCTTCCATCCTGCGCCCACCATGGTGGACAGGAGTGGGACAGGGAGTCTAGCAGCAGTGGGGCTGGGGGAGCTGAACAGCCTGCCAGATCTGCTGCCAGAACTGGACCCAGCTGCAGGAGTTGCATGAATTATTGACTGTGGAGCTGATCAGCTTCTCCTCACTGTAAGCCCCTTGGTGCCAGCTGAGCTGCTCTGGCCAGGTCCATCCTTCCATCCAGCTGTGGGTGCCAGACCCCAGCTCTGAGAGAGGGCTCCCTGTGAGTCAATCCCTGTGTGTTTCCTACAGAGCAGCAGGATGGCAGAGAAGGGTATGGATCCTGCGTGTGTCTCCATTGCCCTGGAGGACACGGTGTGCCATGCCAGCCCCCCAGATGCCCCGCTCCTCACCACCCATTTGAAGAAGGTGGAGAACCACATCACAGAGGCCCAGAGGTTTTCCCACCTCCCGAAGCGCTCGGCTGTCAACATTGAATTCATTGACCTGTCCTACTCTGTGCGGGAAGGCTCCTGGTGGAGGAAGAGAGGTAGGAGCTGCGGGAAGGGGAGGGGAGCTGCATGGCTATCGCACCCCTCTCCTGTTCTGCATGCCTTGATCTCACCCAGGTCCCCAGCACCTCTCTCGGTGCTGGATTCATCCCTTCTCTGCTAATTCCTGCTCCAGGCAGCCCCAGCCTTTGCAAGCACATCGTGCATTAGCTTTGCATGCTGGCAGGAGCTTGCCTCAGTGCGTGGCAGCAGGTCTGTCACAGCAGGAGATGCTGGAGCCACAGCGGGAGATGCTGGAGCTGCTCGCCTTGCGCTCGCCCTGCTGTCCCCTGTGGCGGTGGGGGCTGGCTGGGTGGTCGGGCTGTCCGACCCTGGGGTCTGTCTGAGCTCCAGGTGCTGTTTGCAGCCATGCTGTGGCTGGCTGTCCTTGCTGGGTGCCCATGGGTGGAGGGCAGGCTCGTGTCCCACGCGAGTTGCTGTGTGCCTCTGCTGTGCGATGCCAGAGGAAAGCAGATCGCATCCCAGGAAAGCCTCTGGCCAGGGCTGCATGGGGCAGATTTCCTGATTTGGGGCAACCAGGATGGATTAGTTTCCCTAGCACTGTTGTTTAGGGTATGATGCCTGTGTGTGATGTCCCAACAGCAGGAGACCCCAATAGGTGTCCCAGTTCAGAGCCTGCCAAGGAGAACATGTGTGATTTGCAGGGGATTTCCTCTCCAGCAGCTCCCTGTGCAGCTGAGGCCATGGTTCCCTTTCCTGTGTGTGACTCCGGCCGAGAGCTCAGGGAGGGGAGAGGGGAGGCAGATGGCGGCTGGTGGGTGGTAGTCTGCTTTAATTAGCTCTCTCAGTTAATGGGATGCCAATCAGGCAGCCCCATGAGATGGAGGGGGAGCTGATCTGCGGAAGTTGAAGGCAGGCAGGGATGAGCAGGGGCCTGGGGTGAGCAGACCAAGGGCACAGGGCTGCTCGGCAGGGTGCCTGCTCAGCCAGGAGTGCTGTCCCCCAACCAGGCTCTGTAGCTAGGGAAACTGAGGGTCTGAAACACAGCGGGACCAGCCCTGCATCCCCCTGCTCTGCCTGTTTGTCTTGGATGCTGAGGAAGCATCTCAGGAGGAGCCATGGTACAGCCATGGGTTCCCCAGGGCAGAGTGTGCTGGACCGGCCGCTTGCCGGTCCAAGGCCTTGCAGGGAGGGAGGGCAAAAGGCTCGGACAGCTGGACCGGAGAGGAACATGGCAAGGGGTGCCCGGTGGCAGTGGGAGGTACTGTCCTCTCCCCCAGGTCAGGTGTGGGTGGAGGAGCAGGCAGGGAGCTCCCGGTGCCTTTGACTGCAGCCCCCAGAATCCGCCAGGCTCTGCTGAAGCAGGAGGTTACTGGCAGTCAATGAACGCGAGTAACCGCTGCGCAAGCTGCAGTGGCGCCGACGTGAGCAGCATGCGCGGTGCCAGAGCTGTGTGCGTGGTGCCGGGATGCGCTGGGGGGGCTGCTGGGCATGCTGGCTCTGCTGTCGTCATGCACAGCCCCTCCTGGCTCTCGCTGTCCCTCTGCCAGCAGGGCCCGCTCCCGGGCACAGGGCATCCGACTCTGAGGTGTGCAGAGGAGGAACCAGGAGCTTGTGGTGGCGGAGCCCCTGTCTTGGGGATGGACAAGCCAGGGGGGCTGCTCCCCTCGTGTGGTACGAGGACCATGAGCTGGTCTGTCGCTGGGGCTTGCCCCAGCCTGTGCGTGAGGGATGGACGTATTGCCCTTGCCCAGCACCAGCTGCCACCACAGGGCATATGGGGGGCATATTTCCAGCAGGGAGATGCTCAGACCTGGTCCATGGTTCAGCATGGTCCTAGCACCCTATATGCCATTGCTCTCCTGCCAGGGCTGTGTTTTGGGGGCAGCTCCTGAGAGCCTGAGGCTGTGCGTGTTCCCTACTCCCAACACATCATGTTCCTTCTGCCAGAAAATGCTAATCAGCTGCATTTAAAACAGAGATAATTCCAGGTCTGATTAGCAGCGGCTGCTGCCGGGTATCACAGCATGAATGCCAATGAAGGCAACAGCCCGGCATCCAGCGGGCTTCAGGATTCTGCCTACCCCATGCTACCCTGCTTCTTGATGCCGTGTTCCACTGGTCCTAGGGACTGGGACCTGATAACATGCCCGGGACCAATGTCACAGCCTGGTAATCTTCCTCAGCCACTATGCGCTCTGACCCAGGGATTTCCATGGTCTTTGCTGTGATCCAGGACACGTGCTTCTTCGGTGCTGGAAATCTGTGAGGCCAGCCAAGGACTGGGGTCAGGGATGATTGTGCTGGAAATGACAACTGCTGTGGCTATAGCCCTGGTGATGCTGAAGCGGACAATCTCCAGGCACATGCAGCCCCTGGCGTGACATGTGGAGGTTCTGAGGTCCTCTAGGTGCTGAGAAGGCATCGCAGTCCCTGTAGCACTGCTGCTCTTGAAAGCTGAACCCATGCTGCTCTCTCTCCAGGGTACAAGACTCTCCTCAAATGCCTGTCAGGGAAGTTCTGCCAGCGGGAGCTCATTGGGATCATGGGGCCTTCAGGTGCCGGGAAGTCCACACTCATGAACATCCTGGCTGGCTACAGGTGAGGCTGGGGGGAAGCCAGTGAATCTATGCGTGCAGGGCTGGGTGTCTCTGTGCTACAACTCCCCCGTGCCTCTTTTCTGCAGGGAGACTGGCATGAAGGGGCAGATCCTGGTGAACGGCCGGCCACGGGACCTGCGTACCTTCCGCAAGATGTCCTGCTACATCATGCAGGATGACATGCTCCTGCCACACCTCACTGTGCTGGAGGCTATGATGGTGAGCGATGCAGGACCCAGGCAGCCTGCTGGGTTCTGTGGAGCACCCTGTGGACTACCTCCTTGGGCACTGAGCCCACACTGACATCAGGCATTTCCAAGGGCTCTGGGACACAGGAACAAAATCCTGCTGTTCTTGCTCCCTTCGTCCTGAACCATTGCTTGGGCAGGGATGGGGCCATGGTGCAGCTGATTCTGTTCCCTACATCTGAAAGTCATGTCTCCCTGCAGGTCTCTGCTAACCTGAAGCTGAGCGAGAAGCAGGAGGTGAAGAAGGAGCTGGTAAGTGCAGAGAAAGGTGGGCCCAGACCCCCTCATCTCTCCCCCAGGTGGGGACAGTAGGGAAGGGAGGGCCCCGAGGGGACCAGGGATGCCAAGGAGCTCCCAGTGATGGAGGTCAGAAGGGAGGTAGCAGGGATGGGTTGAGGGTCCATGGGAACCCATGCTGACTAAGGCTGTCTCACAGGTAAATGAGATCCTGACGGCCCTGGGGCTGCTGGAGTGCTCCTACACCCGCACCATCTCGCTGTCGGGGGGCCAGCGCAAACGCCTTGCAATCGCCCTGGAACTGGTGAACAACCCTCCAGTCATGTTCTTCGATGAGCCCACAAGGTGAGGCTGCAGGGGCTGGGGCTCCACAGCACTGCCTGCCTAGCTGAGCTTCATCTGCTGGGGGACACCGGGGTGGCCAGCACTCTCTGGAGCAGCAGGGCTGTAAGACCTGATGGTGGGAGGTGACTCTGCCCACCAGGGCTCCAAGAGGGCTGGGGCATGGCAGGGCTGGGGCTGCAAAGGAATGCTCTCCTCCATCGACCTGGGAGGAGGGTGCCCACAAGGGGAGGCAAGTGGGAGCATCTTTAGGATTGACTTCTCCTCCTCTCAACTCTCGCCTTCTCTCTCTGCTGTCTCTTTCTCCTTCACCCCATCCCGCATGGCCACAGTGGTCTGGACAGTGCCTCCTGCTTCCAAGTGGTTTCCCTGATGCGGTCTCTGGCTCAGGGTGGGCGCACCATCATCTGCACCATCCACCAGCCCAGCGCCAAGCTCTTTGAGATGTTCGACAAGGTTTGGACTGGGCTAGGACACAGGAGTCTTCAGGGTTGCGGGGTCCCTCTGACTCTAAGACCCAGAAGAGAGGCCATGGGAGGGATAGGCTGCAGGCATTTGACCTGAGGCTCGTGTGCAACACAGCCCTGATGGCCAGGGTCTGGCAAGGGTGCCCCATGTCACCCTAGAACAGGGAGGTGGGTAGGAGCAGGTGACAGTGCCTTTGGCTGCTCTGCACCTACCATAACCTGGCTTTTTCTTGCAGCTGTACATCCTGAGCCAGGGCCAGTGCATCTTCAAAGGTGTCGTGACCAACCTCATCCCCTACCTGAAGGGTCTTGGCCTCCACTGCCCCACATACCACAACCCGGCTGATTTCAGTGAGTGCCTCTGCCCCAGCTGGGGGTCTGGTGAGGAGCAGAGGGTGGCAAGGTCCAAACCCAGCACCAAGCCATAGGGAGTAAGGCTGCCCGTGCCCTTCCCGTTACATGCTGGCTGGGCAGTGCTGCCATGTGGTGCAGCATTGTGGGTTGGAGGTTGTGCTGGGCTCCCACTCCCCTACCCCACGGGGCCATGGTCTGGGCAGGCTAAGCAAGGTGATGGCAAGTGCTGGCTCAGTGCCTCTTGGGGATCCTGTCTTCCTCTACAGTTATTGAGGTGGCCTCAGGAGAGTATGGGGACCTCAACCCTGTCCTGTTCCGCGCTGTCCAGAATGGCATGTGCACCATGGCTGAGAAGAAGAGCAGCCCCGACAAGTCAGATCCATCATGCCCAACACACTGTGTGACGGTGAGTGGGGATGAGAGGAGCCTCCTGCAGTGACAGAGGGCGGCAGGTAGTGGAGTGTCCACCCAGGGACACCTCGGTCCCCACAGTGCACAGATATCCTGTGATGTCTAGAGCCCTTTGGACATGGTGGGAAGCATGGTGGTGTTCAGCTAGCCTCTGCTTGTCTTGAGCAACAGTTCTGTGCTTGCAATTGGCAGTGCCTCTTCTCACCATGGTCCCTATCCTAGTAGGGAGCCTCTGTTGTGAACTTGACCCATATCCCTGACTTGTCTGTGGTCTTGCAGGACACGGACCACATCGAAAGTCACACTTTTGCCACCAGCACTTCAACGCAGTTCTGCATCCTCTTCAAGAGAACCTTTGTCTGCATCCTAAGGGACACGGTGAGGGCAGGGGAGGCTGGGCCAGGGCTGAGGGGATGGGGCCTGTTGGTCAGTGGGGGCAAGCAGAGACAGGAATTGAACGGGGAATGGAGTGGGGCTCACCCTTGAGGAGCAGATAGGCTGTCCTCTGCTCCCCTGGGGTGCTCATGGGATGTGACCCTGCCTCACTGAGCCCTCTCTGCCTGCAGGTGCTGACCCACCTGCGGTTCATGTCCCACATCTGCATCGGGGTGCTGATTGGGCTGCTCTACCTGCACATTGGCAACGATGCGGGCAAAGTCTTCAACAACACTGGCTTTCTCTTCTTCTCCATGCTCTTCCTCATGTTTGCTGCGCTGATGCCCACCATCCTCACCTGTAAGGATCTCCTTCCCCCAACACCCATTCATTGGTCCCTACCCTTGGGGCAGAGGGGAGTGCTCCAGCTGTATGGGAGTGTGGGTGGTGTACGGTGCAGCCAGATGAATTGGACAAAAGGGGGGAAATAAGAGAGGAGAAGAAAAAAATGGAAACAAGTAAGGGGGGAAAACTTCTGTTTGGGTATATTGCAGTTTTTCCCTTTAGTTTGGCTAAAATGTACTTGCTGGCTCAAAGGAGAATGCTGACAATTATTTTTTTTTTTGCTGAGAAAATGTCTGTAAAACTGCTTTTTTGTCTGCTTCACCTCTCTTTCACTTCCTCAGAAAGTTTGCCTAAAAAACCCCTGCCAATCTGACTTTTCCATGCAGAAAGTTCCCACATCAGTCACTGACTTTTTTTCCCTGGTGAAGATTGAGCACCCACTCATGGTGCAGGCAGAGGGCTTGCCCTGTGCTGGGGCAGCATCGCATCTGCCTGCACTGGGGCAGGTGGGAGTGGGGGCTGGTGCAGCCCAAGCCAGGGCACAGCTGGCTGCTAACTCCTTGTTTCCATGCAGTCCCCCAGGAGATGTCTGTATTCCTGCGGGAGCACTTGAACTACTGGTACAGCCTGAAAGCCTATTATCTGGCAAAGACCATGGCGGATGTCCCCTTCCAGGTGAGCTTCAACTGGAGTAAAATGTGGCCCTGATGCTGATGTGCCTTCCTTGGCACAGCCAATTGCCTGGCTACGCCGATGAACTGGCTGGCCTTTGAAGGGTTCTTATGGCTCTCTATCCCCCAGGGAGGGTCTGTGGGGTGAGGATGGCCATGGGTCCAGCAGAGCAGTGTCTTTGCTTCCCCTTCTGCAGGTGATCTGCCCCATCGCGTACTGCAGCATCGTGTACTGGATGACGGGCCAGCCACCCGAAGCCACGCGTTTCCTCCTCTTCTCTGCCCTGGCCACCGCCACAGCCCTGGTGGCCCAGTCCCTCGGGCTTCTCATTGGAGCTGCTTCCACTTCTCTACAGGTCAGATGGGGTCCCAGCTTTGTCTGCTATGTGGAGATGGGGGGAGAGTTGCAGGGGGTCCCGCAACAAGGAAGCGTGGAGGGAAGTGTTGGCTATAGGCAGGTGTTTGAATGTGAGGGACGTGACACCGAGTGGCCTCTGCTCCCCAGGTGGCCACCTTTGTGGGTCCTGTCACTGCCATCCCCGTCCTGCTCTTCTCGGGCTTCTTCGTCAGCTTCAAGACCATCCCCACCTACCTGCAGTGGAGCTCCTATGTCTCCTATGTCAGGTGGGACCCTGCACCCTGGCTAGAAGCCCCCTGCCCTGGGCTCCCATGGGCTGGGGAGAGAATAGGGCTGCCTGGGGCATGCAGTGACTCTTGTGGTGTGCTCTGCCCTAGGTATGGCTTTGAGGGCGTCATTCTCACCATCTATGCCATGGAGCGTGAGGACCTGGAGTGCCTCGAGGAATTTTGCCCTTTCCAAAAACCCATCAAGATCCTGCAGGAGCTGGATGTGGAGGAGGCCAAGCTGTACCTGGACTTCATCATCCTGGGCATTTTCTTTGTCATCCTGCGGCTCCTGGCTTACCTGGTCCTCAGGTACAAAGTCAAGTCAGAGAGATAAAGGGGCTGTGGGGCCCCGGTGCCATTCCCGGGCCTGGCCTGCTGCGAGAGACAGTTCCATAGATGGACACAGCGCTCCTAGCAGGTCATGGACCGCAGCAGAGGTGTCAGTAGGTGCCAGCCAGGTCTGGCTCAGTCGAGAAGGGTTTTGAGACATCTCAGAACTGTTTTAACCTTTCCACACACTCTTCATTGCAAAAGTTTTGTACAGCCCTGGCATGTGCCACCCTCTCCCCCAGGACTGCCGAACCCCATGGAACTCGGACTCCCCCTTGTCGCCCCTGCCCGGCACTGTCCTTCTCCACCAAACGCATTGGGACACCAAGGACAGTCCTGCAGAGGTGGCTGTCTGCCGAGCAAGGCCAAGAGGAGCCGGCTGCTCCAGGCAGGAGGGGAGCAGTGCTGTGGAGCTGCCTGATCCTGGGGCTGAAGCCAGCAGGAGACACCTGCAGAGCACGGATCGGTAGCGCAGCACATAGCCCTGTTGCTCACCCTGGCCAGCAGCGTGTGTCAGTGCTAAGAAGAGCCCAAAGATGCAATACGTCAAGTTGCACGAGGCTTTAGTGTTTCCTGTTGCTGTAGCCACAGAAATTGCTGCAACACCTTTTTCTTTCTGCATAAATATCCAGCTCTCCCCCCTTCCCCATCCCCCCCTTTTTTTTTTCTTTTTTTCTTTTCTTTCTTTTTTTCATAAACCCCACTGCTTCCCAGTCTGCATGGAGGGGAAAGGGAGCCAGGAGGCAGAGGAGGACTTGGAGCTCTGTTTCAGACTTCTGCTCAGATGCCATCCTCAGAGATGGGATCTCCAGATCTGGGGATGTGGCAGGATCTGTGGGAATGGGACAGTATTCTCAGACTTTAGGGAGTCTCACATTCAGTCCCTGTTATTTTTGGAGTCTGAGCCAAGAGGATAAAATCAACCAACATGGGGGAAAAGTGACCAGTCCCTTCAAGTGCTGCACAGAGTGGGGACAATTTCTGTTCCCACACCCTGCCAGCGCCAGGCGGGTGAAAAGCTGGGCTGCGCTCAGCCTGGCCATCGCTGGAGCCTCTGCTGCAGGAGAAGAATTGGCCCTGAGCCCTTCCCTTGCTCCACCTTGCTCCTCACTCCTCTTCCCCCGGCACAACTGTGGCTATCTCAGCAGAACAGGGAGGACGAGCCTCACTCAGCACTGGCTGTGCAAGGAGGGGATGCCAGCCCCAGGGATGGCCAGCCTCACCACAGTGCAAACCTCCCATGGTAACGCTGTGCCGAAGGGGGTCCTGGCAGTGCCAGAACTGGAAAGCAGGTGAGATCTTGGAGCGATTTGCTTGCACTGGGCTATTCTGACACTGGGAAGGGCTTTGCACTTTATGACTGGTATCAGGAAGAGGTCTCTTCTGACAAGTGTCTCTGGTGATTCCTCTGAAGTCACCTGCCTCTCCACATCCCTTGCAGAGGGAAGGCATTTTGGCACCTCGGTGGCTCTCCAAAAGAACAGAGCTGAGACCAGAGCTGGTGGGGCGTCTGCACACACTGCTGTGTTGGGAGCACAGCACGTTGTGAAGCCGCATAGCACAGGCCTTGTCTCTGTGGATGTGCTGGCACTGGTGTCTCCCGGCTGTGCTGGTCACCCATGCACATGGGAACCTACTGCTTTTTAGTGACCATGGCCATGAGAGAAGGCAGCTCTGCCCCGTCCTGGCGTGCTGGGCCCTGGTTCAAGTGCAGTCTGCGAGATGATGCTGCCAGCACTCTCTGGGCAGCAGGGGATTGCAGGGCAAATGCCAGATTTCAGCATAATCCTTGAGACTGTTCTTTGCTTTTACTGGCTCGTGTTGGGACTGCTCTGCACAGCAGGGTCTGGCTGGCTCGCCCCTGCCCGGCACTGTCCTTCTCCACCAAACGCATTGGGACACCAAGGACAGTCCTGCAGAGGTGGCTGTCTGCCGAGCAAGGCCAAGAGGAGCCGGCTGCTCCAGGCAGGAGGGGAGCAGTGCTGTGGAGCTGCCTGATCCTGGGGCTGAAGCCAGCAGGAGACACCTGCAGAGCACGGATCGGTAGCGCAGCACATAGCCCTGTTGCTCACCCTGGCCAGCAGCGTGTGTCAGTGCTAAGAAGAGCCCAAAGATGCAATACGTCAAGTTGCACGAGGCTTTAGTGTTTCCTGTTGCTGTAGCCACAGAAATTGCTGCAACACCTTTTTCTTTCTGCATAAATATCCAGCTCTCCCCCCTTCCCCATCCCCCCCTTTTTTTTTTCTTTTTTTCTTTTCTTTCTTTTTTTCATAAACCCCACTGCTTCCCAGTCTGCATGGAGGGGAAAGGGAGCCAGGAGGCAGAGGAGGACTTGGAGCTCTGTTTCAGACTTCTGCTCAGATGCCATCCTCAGAGATGGGATCTCCAGATCTGGGGATGTGGCAGGATCTGTGGGAATGGGACAGTATTCTCAGACTTTAGGGAGTCTCACATTCAGTCCCTGTTATTTTTGGAGTCTGAGCCAAGAGGATAAAATCAACCAACATGGGGGAAAAGTGACCAGTCCCTTCAAGTGCTGCACAGAGTGGGGACAATTTCTGTTCCCACACCCTGCCAGCGCCAGGCGGGTGAAAAGCTGGGCTGCGCTCAGCCTGGCCATCGCTGGAGCCTCTGCTGCAGGAGAAGAATTGGCCCTGAGCCCTTCCCTTGCTCCACCTTGCTCCTCACTCCTCTTCCCCCGGCACAACTGTGGCTATCTCAGCAGAACAGGGAGGACGAGCCTCACTCAGCACTGGCTGTGCAAGGAGGGGATGCCAGCCCCAGGGATGGCCAGCCTCACCACAGTGCAAACCTCCCATGGTAACGCTGTGCCGAAGGGGGTCCTGGCAGTGCCAGAACTGGAAAGCAGGTGAGATCTTGGAGCGATTTGCTTGCACTGGGCTATTCTGACACTGGGAAGGGCTTTGCACTTTATGACTGGTATCAGGAAGAGGTCTCTTCTGACAAGTGTCTCTGGTGATTCCTCTGAAGTCACCTGCCTCTCCACATCCCTTGCAGAGGGAAGGCATTTTGGCACCTCGGTGGCTCTCCAAAAGAACAGAGCTGAGACCAGAGCTGGTGGGGCGTCTGCACACACTGCTGTGTTGGGAGCACAGCACGTTGTGAAGCCGCATAGCACAGGCCTTGTCTCTGTGGATGTGCTGGCACTGGTGTCTCCCGGCTGTGCTGGTCACCCATGCACATGGGAACCTACTGCTTTTTAGTGACCATGGCCATGAGAGAAGGCAGCTCTGCCCCGTCCTGGCGTGCTGGGCCCTGGTTCAAGTGCAGTCTGCGAGATGATGCTGCCAGCACTCTCTGGGCAGCAGGGGATTGCAGGGCAAATGCCAGATTTCAGCATAATCCTTGAGACTGTTCTTTGCTTTTACTGGCTCGTGTTGGGACTGCTCTGCACAGCAGGGTCTGGCTGGCCTGCAGGTGGATGGCAGACGTGTGGCAGCACTGATGCCTGGCTCTCAGTAAGGCTGGGTTTCCCCTGCCTGGACAGCATCCGTGCAAGGAGCTTGTAGCCGTGGCACTCTCCTGCACAGAGGTCTGGAGACCGGACATGCTCTGATGCCCTTTCCATGTTGAGCATTGGGGTTTTCCTAGGGGCTCTTGTCTGACTTACTGCTGTCCCTCACAAAATTCCCCCTCTGCTCCTGGATGTTCCTTCTCTGCTAGCCCTGTGCCGTGCTCTGCAATGAACTCATGCCAGCCTGGGGGGCTGTAGTCTCTGGGTATAATGCTACAAACCCCAGCCACGGGGCACAGTTGAGTGGGGAATGGTCCCCATGTCTGCTCTGTCACCAGGTGGATGGGTGGGCAGGGAGCCAGGGGGAGGGTGAAGCTGTGGCCTGTCACCCTTCTCCACTTCACTGTCTGCGGGCCTGATGGGACCACTGCCCTCTTCTGTCCTGCTCTTGGGCTGTGGCTAGTTAAGCCTTGCCCAGCACGGGGCGTGCACTGCTGGGCTGAGGGTTTTCCCCTGATGGATACCAAGCCAGGAGGAGATGCCAGTGGTGCAGCTTTGCACAGGTCCTGCCTTCTGCCGGCTCCCTGGCAGCTGGGGGCTCTCATGGTGGGTCCTGCCTCCTGCACACCAGAGGCACTGCTGTCCCCAGCGCTTTGTCCTGCTGCTGTCTGTACCCAGCACATGGTGCCTCCTGGGACAGGCCTGTGCCATCGCAGCCAGCGCCACCGCCATTCCCAGAGGGACCAGAATGAGATGGACTAGTGATGGCCCATGGGTGGAGCACAGGGGGCTACCAGCAGGCACCCGTGACTGCCACTGCCCACATCCCACACGCACAAGGCCTTCACTGGCCAGTCTGCTGATTGCAGAGAAACCACATGGGACAGGCTGCCTGAGCTCAGCACGGCCTGAAGGAGACTGCCAGAGCAGGCAGCTCCACAGGTGGCTGCTCAGACCAGCCTGTCGGGGATGGGGCAGTTGGCAGTATCTCCAGGATCTCCAGGACAATTCATCACAGCCCAGGCCTCCTGTGCTAGTGGGTGCACGGGTTGCAGAGTCCTGGCTGACCAGGTATGTGGCCACTGTGGGGCAGAGAGCCAGGACGAGCTCTGGAGATGGAAGATGGTTGTGTCCCCAAGCTGGGCAAGGGCACTGGGGAGTTGGGAATCACAGGACAGGCACTTCTTATCGCCAGGGCAGCTGGAGGTCTGAGGTGGCCTAGAGAAGAGCACCAGAACTCCTGGAGGAGCCAGCAAGTGAATGAAGTGAATGTGTTGGTACAAAGGCGCTGTGATGAGCAAGGGATCTGGACATCTCATGACACAGACGCAAATGGTGCCCGAAGAGTGAACTGAGCCAAGGTGCCAGAACACAGCCATCCACTTCCTCTTCCCTCCTTGTGAGGACAGTCCCAGAGACAGTGGAAAGCCCAGAGAAATGCAAAGACACCAAGCACGTCTGCACCGAGCCTCGCAGGCTGGCATGGCTGGGCCAAGCACTCAGGATTTATTGCCCCTCCGCTGCCCAGGTGGCCGCCTGTCCCGCAGGACAGAGGGGTTGTCTCTGCCCTGGCTTGGCAGAGGCATGGGGTGCAGCTGCCCTGCTCCAGGGGAGCCTTAGTGGAGCAAGGCTGGACCTCTCCAGCCCACTGGCTAGCGAGTATCTCTGGGATGTTCTCTTCAGGGCAAGGTAGGCAGCAAGCCAGGTTGTGGCGGGACCCCTTGGCAATAACACTGGTTGTTTTGTGGTGCGGGGCCAGGAGCGTGCAGGCTGGGTCTTGCCTTGTCCTGAGTAGGTGAGGAGCACCCATGTGTTGGGCTGGCACGCAGCAGTGGGGATGCACTTTATCAGAGCAGGGGAGCAGAGCCGTGGGTGCTTCTGGCTGCAGGAATCCCACCAGGGAATGCGTCTGGATAATCATGAGGAGTGTGATGGAGGAGAGCAGGCTTCTTTCCCCCCCACCTCCTCTCCCCTCCTGCCCCCTGCCTTCCCTTGCAATGCACTTTGAATAGATGAGGATATGGTTCAGGCCACTGCTCCAGCTCCCTGGGAGCACCGGTTGAACCTCAACCCATCTAAAACTGCTTCAGCCCACAGGCACGTTTGTATAAGGTACTGCCTCTCCCTCATGTGCTGTGAATGCAAGCAGGGTTATGGGCTCTCACCTCCACGTGTCCAGGCCACCTTTGTCACACGCACAAGAAGAGCAAATGTATCATCACCCGGCTGGTGCTAGGGTTTGCTGGAGGGGAGACTGGGTTAGCGTGGGGAGGGGACGGGGCTTCTCCCAGGGTTTTCACCCCTCTCTAATTGGGCAATAAAACAGTGTTTCATCCGCACCATTTGTCCTGTCCCTCTGCCATGGGAGCTCCTGGTGCCATGGGCAGCCTGCAGTTACATGGGATCTCTGTGTGTATCCCTGCCATGCTGGACCCTGTGGTTTTCCAGCCTTCACCTTGTCCGCACGTGCAGAGGAGGTTGTACAGTGGGGTGCACGTGCAATACAGGGTGGGAGTGGGCCATGCAGAGATGTGCTTATGTTGAAACCTGTGCTCCCACGTGACCAGAGGTGAGCTACTTTTTTCCTGGGACTGTTTACCAAAATAAGGTGCAGATAACAGCTCAAAGGGAGTCTGCTCTCACAGCCATAGCTCTGCTGTAGTAGCTGTGTGTGGGTGGCATTTGCCCAGGTCCTTCTGCCTTGCTAAGGGAAGACTGCAAAGTGGGGCCAGGGCACCACTGCCCACAGCTGCAGCCTAGCAGGAACCAGGTGGGGTGGAGGTGAGCCCCTGGGCTCTGAGGGGAGCACAGGGCTGCTGTCAGGGCCCTGAGGGCTCTCCGGGCTGTGCCATGTGAGCAGGTAAGTGCTCCACAGCGACAGGGTGTCTGGGTCCCTGCTTGCTGCTGGTGCTCACCAGTGTCCAGAGGGCCCCAGGAGCTGTTGAGCAGGTGGAGATACCGCAGTTTATTTCAGTCTTTCTGAGATGCCAGCTGTACTTGTTGGATTTCACACATCAATAAAACTTATATTTATAGTGTACTGCCTGGATGCCTCCCCTCCCTGAGTGGCCAGAGGGCATGCATGCAAGGGGAGATGTGCGTGTCTGGGTACACTGATGGGTGTCCCAGCATTAGGCTGTGGAGAGTGGGTGCTGGGGGCAGCATGAAGGCTGGGGATGGTCACCAAGTGTGTGCAAGGACATGTGTGTCCACGTAGGCAGGCCTTTGGGGTATGAGCATGGCCTCTGGGGTTAACGAGGTGTGAACCCTTGGACTCAGCACCCTTGGCTCAGCACGGCCTGTGGCTGGCTGGAGTGGTCTGGCGCTTGCTGGGACAGCACCCAGGGACTAAGCAGAGTGCGAGCAGCCCTG